GTCGTTTTGAATTCTGATCCTGCCTCTGGAGTATTAACTAGTTCTCCTAATTTGGTGTCATCTGCAAACTTGATAAGCATGCCCTCCAAACCTTCATCCAAGTAATTAATAAAGATGTTGAACAATACTGGACCCAGGTCTGAACCCTGCGGCACTCCACTAGTCACTTTTTCCCAGGATGAAGTGGAACCATTGGTGAGCACTTTTTGGGTTTGGTTGCTTAACCAATTACAGATCCACCTAGTAGTAATCTTGTTTAGCCCATATTTGCCTAGTTTGTTTGCAAGAAGATCATGGGGGACTTTGTTCAAGGTCTTACTGAATTCAAGATATGCTACATCCACAGCATCCCCTGCATCTACCAAGCCTGTAACTCTATTTAAAAAAGGAGATAAGAGTAGTCTGTCACAACTTGTTTTTCAGAAATCTATGTTGACTTTTAGTAACCACTACATTCTTTTCTAAGCGATTAAAGACTGCCTCCCTAATTATCTGCTCTAGAATCTTTCCTGGTATTGATGCAAGACTGACTGGACAATTGTTTGGGTCCTTTTTTTTTCCTTCTTGAAGATAGAGACAACATTTGCCATTCTGATTTGCTGGGACTTCTTTTGTTCTACAAGAATTCTCAAAGATTATTGCCAATTCTGAAATGACTTCTGCTAGTTCCTTCAATAGTTTATCTGGTCCTGAAGACTTGAATCCATTTAGAGCAGCCAGGTATTCCTAGACTACTTCTTTACTTATTTTGGGTTGAATTTCCTCTGTTGCCTTGTCAGCACCATATTGCTCAGGTCGAACGCTGATTTTCTTTTGGGAGAATACTGAGGCAAAGAAGGTGTTGAGCAGCTCTGCCTTTTTCCTATCCTCTGTTAGCATTTCACCACCTTCTCTACGCAGAGGCCCTACAGTTTCCTCCCCCCCCCCTTTTCTACTGACATAACCAAATAATCTTTTATTGTTTTTAATCTCTCTGGCAAGCCTGAATTAATCTTGCACTTTAGCCATTCAGACCTTTTCCTTACATATATTGCTAATTTGTTTGAAAAGGGGGGAAATCACAAAAGAGAAATTCATCCCTTTTAAATCTTTGCTCAGTTAAAAGTTCTTAGGACATATTTTTCTCCTTGTTAGCACTGTTGCAATTGTGCTTTCAGTATCTCGCTTTTAAGAAATACCCATCCATCAGTAACTTTCTTCTCTTTTAGTATTCCTATCCATAGGATCATATTCAGTATTTCCCTAAATTTCCTGAAGTTGGCTCTTCTAAAGTCTAAAATGCATGTCTGACTTCATTTAAGGCCCTTCCACAGTGCCTTTTATCTCCGGATCTGATCTCAGATTATCTGCTTTAAACTGGAATATATGAGTCCTAACTGCCAGTTAACCTGGGATAAACAGATAATCTGGGGTCAAATCCTGGAATCTTTATAGAAGATTATATGGCAATGTTCTTCTACACTGCCTCTTTAGGCAGTGTAGAAGAACATTGCCATATAATCCAGAGTAACTGGATTATGTGAGTCTACATTGCCATATAATCTAGTTCAAAGCAGATAATCTGAATGTTATATGGCACTGCAGAAGGGGCCTTAGTTTCTCATTTCCTCTGTATCACAAACTCCAGGAGCACATGGTCCCTCCCACCTAAGGATCCCACCACTTCCATTCCATTAATGTTGTCCCTTCTGGACAATAAATTCCCTGCAAAGCAAGTGAGGAATTTGTTGAACTTTGCACTCTTAGCAGAGTTTGTTTTCCAACAAATAGCAGAATAGTTGAAATCTCTCATCACTCCTATATCTTTTCTTTCTGCTTGGTCACCTGTTCAAGGAACATTTCACCCAGGTCTTCAGTCTGGCTTGAAGGTCTGTAGTAGAGCCCCACATGGCTACATCTTCTTCAGCCCTTGTTCCTTTAATTCTTATCCATATGCTCTCAACTTGGCTGAGTGTGTATCAGGAGCTTCTGAGGTGAGAGAACTGACCACCTGCAAGAACGTTGCCCAGGGTACACCCGGAAGTTTTACCATCCTGTGGGAGGCTTCTCTCATGTCCCCACATGAGAAGCTGGAGTTGACAGATCGTAGCTCATCCAATCTCAGGGATTCACACCGCCAACCTTTTGGTCAGCAAGGGTTTAACCCATTGCGCCAGGGGGACTCTGGCTGCATAGGTGAATGAATTAGATGTCAATTAATCTAGAGTAGCATTTCTCAATGGAGTCCCTGGTAGCACAGTGGGTTAAAGCTCTGTGCCAGCAGGACTGAAGACCGACAGGTCACAGGTTCGAATCTGGGGAGAGCGTGGATGAGCTCCCTCTATCAGCTCCAGCTCCTCATGCGGGGACATGAGAGAAACCTCCCAGAAGGATGATAAAACATCAAAACATCCGGGCATCCCCTGGGGAACATCCTTGCAGATGGCCAATTCTCTCACACCAGAAGCGACTTGCAGTTTCTTAAGTCACTCCTAACACAACAACCAAAAAAACTTTCTCAAGCTGTGCTCCTCCAGATGTTTTGGACTTCAGCTCCCACAATTCTTAACAGCTGTTAAAATGGCTAGGATTTCTGGGAGTTGAAGTCCATAATAATAATAATAATAATAATAATAATAATAATAAACCTTTATTTATACCCAGTTACCATCTCCCGAAGGACTCGGTGCGGCTTACAATAGGCCGAGACCCATACAACAATAAAAGACAACAATACAGCAGTAAATAAAAATCAAACAATAAACATTAACAATAAACACGACACAATTAAAACCAATGTCAGGGCCAAATGTAATGGTTAAAAATTTCAAAAAGCTGGGGAACAGTTTGAGAAACATTAGATATACACTATGTATTTAATTAATATCACTGTTTAATTGTTATGTAATAGGATTTTATATTGTTGGTTTATATTGTTGTTATTGATACTGCTGGTATTGAATTGTTGCCTGTGTTAGCCGCCCTGAGTCCCCCCTCGGGGGTGAGAAGGGCGGGGTAGAAATAGTGTAAATAAATATACAAAAAACTCAAAAAATTACAACAGCAAAACAAGAGAGTAAACAATCAGACACATCAAATCACTCTCAACAAAAGATTCCCCCCAGGCACTTCCAAGCCATTAAATGCTAATCAAGGTGGTCAGCTGAAACATTCACACCTAGCTGCAGCAGACAAAAGTCCTTTGTCCCACCCTGGTCATTCCACAGATATATAAACCCATTTTCCTACTTCCAACAGACCTCACTACCTCTGAGGATGCTTGCCATAGATGCAGGCGAAACGTCAGGAGAAAAATGCCTCTAGAACATGGCCATATAGCCCGGAAAAACCTACAACAACCCAATAAATATACACTTTCTGCATTAAAAAAAATCCAGTGTAAATACTAAAATCTCTAAAGTATTGAAGGTATATCCTCTTCCCTCCAAAAAAACAAAACTGTATTGTGATAATTATTTAAATAGTGCAAATGGACATAGTTGTAACTCTCAAACTTTTTGAAAACTGCAAATCTCACAATCTCTAATGATTTATTTATTTATTTATTTACTATTCTTGTATACCACTGTATCTCAAGCCCGAGAGCGACTCACAGCGGTTTCCAGAAAGCAAACAACAGAGACAGTAAAAACAGCAGTAATCAATATATCACAATAGTTAAACTACACAATTCCATTTCTAACAGTAAACAAACATCAATACACAGTTATCACAAAAAGCCCCCCCCCCCGGATCGCCTCATCATCCAAACGTGATCCAAATTTCGTCGTCCATTGTTCCTTTCCTATGTTCAATTTACCAGAGATTGCACTGAATTACTCAAACGCCTGCACAAACATCCAGGTCTTCAACTTTCTATGGAATGTCATGAGGGATGGTGCCAACCTAACATCTACAGGAAGGGCGTTCCACAGCCGAGGAGCCAGCACCGAGAAGGCCCTATCCCTCGTCCCCGCCAACCGTGCTTGAGAGGCCGGCGGGACCGAGAGCAGGGCCTCCCCGGAAGATCTCAAAGTTCGGGTGGGTTCATAGGCCGAGATGCGGTCAGATAGGTATCTTGGGCCGGAACCGTTTAGGGCTTTATAGGCCAGTACCAACACCTTGAATTGGGCCCGGTAGCAAATCGGCAGCCAGTGGAGCTGGTGCAACAGGGGGGTTGTGTGCTCCCTGCGCTCCGCTCCCGTTAGAATCATGGCTGCCGCATGTTGGACTAGTTGCAGCTTCCGGGCCGTCTTCAGGGGCAGCCCCATGTAGAGAGCGTTGCAGTAGTCTAGGCGGGATGTGACAAGAGCATGTACCACCGTGGCCAAGTCAGACTTCCCAAGATACGGGCGCAGCTGGCGCACGAGCCTGAGCTGTGCAAATGCTCCCCTGGTCACCGCCGAGACCTGGGGCTCCAGGCTCAGCGGCGAATCCAGGGTCACACCCAAGCTGCGAACCTGTGTCTTCAGAGGGAGTGCGACCCCATCCAACACAGGCTGTAACCCTATACCCTGTTCGGCCTTGAGACTGACCAGGAGTACCTCTGTCTTGTCTGGATTCAACTTCAATTTGTTCGCCCTCATCCAGACCGTCACAGCAGCCAGGCACCGGTTCAGGACTTCGACAGCCTCCTTAGTAGAGGGTGGGAAGGAGTGACAGAGTGATTGGTTATGTTGGCTACCTAGTCATGCGCCAAAAATATCTAGAGGGCTACAAATGCCCACCCTGAGTCATATTTGAGAATGTCTCACCATGTGAGGTGACACAAGAAAGCAAACAATACACCTGCTTTTTGGGAAGATGACTATTGGCAAACTTGGGGCCTCCAGGTGTTTTGGACTTCAACTCCCACCATTCCTCACAGCCTCAGGCCCCTTCCTTTTCCCCTTCAGCCGCCTAAGCGGAGGGGGAAAAGGAAGGGGCCCGAGGCTGTGAGGAATGGTGGGAGTTGAAGTCCAAAACACCTGGAGGCCCCAAGTTTGCGCCTACCTGAAGCACAGGTGAGAAACGTCACTTACCTGACTCCTTTCTTAACGAAAGCTGTCAGATCCCCCACACGCCCAGGCTTGGCAAGCGTGGCATCTCCTTCGTGCCCCCTTTATAGGAACCGAGGGGAGGCGGAGAGGTCATCCCTTCCTTTGACACAAGAGGTTTCAACTTCTTGAGAGGGTCCAAGAGCAAGCGAAGGTGAAGCAGACCTGAGGGGCTGGAGTTCGGCCCTGACTGGCGAGGGAGGGAAGGAAAGAGGGGGTCGCGCGCACTGCCCTCGAAGAGGAGGAGGAGGAGGAAGATTGGCTCCTCCTTTAACCGGCGACAGGGCAAAAGTCCCTGGAGTTTGAGGGCAGGAAGTAAGGGAAGAGGGCAAAGGGCTGGCAGCGGCAAGGTGACAGGTCCCGGAAATGAGCTCTAGAGTGAGGGAGAGAGAGAGACACACACACACACAAACACGCCCGCGCGCACACACCTCCTCCCAAGGCGGGTTGCTATTGGTTGAGGGAAGGCGGCACAGGAAGCCGGAGAAAGGGCGGGCGCGAGGTGTGTGTGTGCGCGCGGTGCCAGGAGAGAGAGGGAGGGCGCGCGCGCTCACCCCTCAGCGGAGAGTGAGCGTAGCGTACATAGAAGCGGGGCGCGAGGTGTCTGTGTCTGAGTGTGCCGAGAGAGAGAGAGGCGCGCGCCCACCCCTCAGCGGCGCGTGAGCGTAGAAGCAGGGCGCGAGGTGTATGTGTCTGAGCGTGCCAAGAGGGAGAGAGAGGCGCGCGCCCACCCCTCAGCGGCGCGTGAGCGTAGCGTAGAGTAGCGTAGAAGCAGGGCCTGTTCCTTCTCCTCAGAGCAGCCGCCTGCCTGCCAGCCAGCCAGCCAGCCGGTCGGCATCGTTGGCACACCACGCAGCGCCCACGCGGGGAGGGCGGCCGCCATGCACACGCAGGCCACAGCGGGCTCACCGCCGCCCGACGGACGCTCCCCGAAACTGGGCCTGGCCCGCTCGGCCTTGAACTGGCTTTCAAGCCTCAGGACTTGGCGACTGAAGGAACACTGTGCTTCCAGTGGGCTAGGAATTGGCCCCCTCAGCGAGGCCCGCAGGCTCCGTATGGCAAGCTCTGAGGAGACAGAAAAGCCAGGAGGAAGAGCGGAACCTAAACTAGGCTCATCCCCTCAGGCCTGCCTCAGGGGAGCGTGCTTGCTCCATCCATGTTCAACATTTACATATCCACTGCCAGAAGGGACAGAGTTTCATCTATGCTGATGATCGTGCCATCACCGCTCAAGCAGGGAGCTTTGATGGTTGAACAGAAGCTCTCCAAAGCTCTAGGTGCTCTTACTGCCTATACAAGGAAAACAGGAGGCCCCAGTGGCACAGTGGGTTAAACCCCTGTGCAGGCAGGACTGAAGACCGACAGGTCACAGGTTCAAATCAGGGGAGAGCGCGGATGAGCTCCCTCTGTCAGCTCCAGCTCCTCATGCGGGGACATGAGAGAAGCCTCCCACAAGGATGGTAAACCCACTGCGCCACCGGGGGCTCCATATAGTTTTGAATGACTTGTCTCAAAGGGCCTCAACAATTTCAACATTGTAGCAGCCACAAAAACAAAAGGTTTCTGGAGTTGAACAGCTACTTTCAAAGTATTTATTCTATTGGAAATGAAGTGAGGGTACAGTTGTAATGCATTTAAAAACAGAAAGTCTAAACAACTTGGCATTATACTAAATGTTCTTTGACCAGTAGCTGGCCATCTGAAGTGCCTCTGGTGTTGCTATAAGAAGGTCCTCCATTGTGCATGTGGCAGGGCTCAGGTTGCATTGCAGCAGGTTGCATTGCAGCAGTCCACACTTGCATGTTGTGGACTCCGCTTTGTGGCCCCATTTCTTAAGATTGTATTTGCATCTCGTGGTACCAAAGCGCTTTCCAAGTTGCCCAGTCTTCTGTGTGCCCAGGAGGGAGTCTCTCATTCAGTATCAGCCATGGCTTGAGGAGCCTGCCACTTTTGGACTCTTGCTTGCTGATATGTTCCTGCGAGTATCCCACAGGATTGCAATACATCCGGGTATCCCCTGGGCAATGTCTTTGTAGGCGGCTGATTCACACCAGAAGCAACTTGCAACACGACAACTTTCAAAGTAAGTCCCGCACAATGAAACAGGAGATAACACACACAAACCAGGAACAGATTTTCCCCCAAATTATATAGTGTAATATGGAACCCGAAGGTGGAGTGGCCAACTTTGTCCTGCCTCATCACACTGGAGCATTTATCCACTTCAATCCACTTTAAATGCTGTGACTGCCTCCTGCAGAATTCTGGAGTTTGTAGTTTAGGGAGGGGCTTTTGAAGTGGGTTTCTGTGAGTTTTCTAGGCTGTATGGCCATGTTCCAGAAGCATTCTCTCCTGGACATGACCATACAGCCCGGAAAACTCACAGCAACCAAATGATTCCAGCCATGAAAGCCTTTGACAACATATAGGTCTTTTAACTGCTCATTCAGACAAGCCCTGGGCCTCTCTAAACTGCAAGTCCCAGAATTCTGCAGAAGTCAGTAAGCATTTAAAGTGGATTGAAGTGGAAAAATGCTCAGTATGATGAGGTCCCAAATTGTGCCTTCCTTCTCTGCAGAAGGCAGCACCAGGGAAAAGGGCACGAGCAAGGATGGAGCAGCTCATACCTGGCATTTTAAAATATTCCCAAATCGGCCAAGTGGGTGGCTGAGAGAGTGACACCTTTACTTTCATTATGCAAAACTCTGACATGCACATTTTTTTAAAAAATTGCGTATAGAATTCATTATGCACAAATCTGACATGGACAATATTATTGATTAAATTTTGTGTATAAAAATCCCTTCAGGCTATCTGTATAAGGTTTATATGGAACATAAATTCATTTCATGTTTAGACTCTGGGCTAATCTTCAGAAGATCTCATTAGGTATATGCAAGTATTCCAAAGTCCAAGAAAACTTGAAGTGCAGAAAAGTCCCAAGCATTTCCAACAAGGGACACTGCCTGTATTACCAGCTGTATTCTAGGGACAGGCTGCAATTCTTCCTTCCTTGCTCCTGAAACTTCCCTTTACTCTGCATGTTTTTAGTCTTGGAAGAGAGGTGTTAATGGCACACAAAACTCCAAAGTTGCGGTATTATTTTAACAAAAATATTATGGCACCCTAAAGACTAGATTTTTATTTGGTGGGAGCTTTTTTGAACCGCACCTGCTCTATCCATTGTATAGAACACCACTGATAACACTATGTAACACAATTTTTGTTCCTGGGTTATTAAAGTCATTTCTGTCATAAAACGTTCTGTCATAAAAACATGTAAAAAGTTTGTCAAACTGCCAAAACTTTGTTTCGGCGGGACATCCTGAAGCATGTTTTGCTATAGTTTTTCAATGAATATCTCATGCCAGTCTCAACCAACTCCACATAGTTTGTAGCAGCCATGAAAACAAAGTTTCTGGAGTAGAATAACTACTTTAAAAGTAAGTACTCCACACTTGAACAGGAAATACACTTTCAAAACTGGAGCAGATTTTTTTTTCAAATTATTTAGTCTAATATGGAACCCGAAGGCAGCGTGGCCAACTTTGTCCTAGTGCCTCCCTTCTCTGCAGAAGGCAACACCAGGAAAAAGGGCAGGAGGAGGAGTCGAGCAGCCCTTACCTTGCCTTTTGAAATCCTCCCAAATCAGCCGGAGAGAGATACCCTTGCATTAATGTGCACGAACCTATCGTACACAACATTATTTTTAACATGTTGTGTATATAATTCCTTTCATGCTATCAGTAAGGTATATCTGGAACATGGTACTGTTCCATTTCAGGACATATGCCACAGAATAATAGTGCATTTTAGGGGGGGGGGAGTTGAAGGAGAAGACAATTTCTCCCTGCTTTCCTGTTATTCCCCCCCACCCACCCATGTTGCTGTCATGGGAAGTGGGGAGGAGAAATAACCAAGAAAAACTGGGGAAATTGTTTTCCTCCTTCAACTCCCCCCGCAATCCCAAATGAAGTAATCTTCTCTCTCTAGGCCCCCTTTTGGAGTCGTCCCCCCCCCCCCAGTAATGGAGCAGTTCTTTGTTCCTAAAACCTCCCTTCACTTGTGTTTTTGGTCTTTGAAGAGAAGTTTTGATGGAACAGAGAACTTCAAAAGTAGCAGTATTATTTTAACAAAAGTATTATGGCACCCCAAAGACTTTTATTTGGTAGAAGCTTGTTTGAACTGCAGCCTGCTTTATCTCTTTTATGTAACACCATTTTTGTTCCTGGGTTATCCTTGTAAGTGTCATTTCCTAATTGGTTCTATCATCAAAACATGGGGAAAGGTTATTAAACTGTCTTTGTGGGACATCCTCCAAAATTTTTTGCTATAGTTTTTCAATGAATATCTCATTCAAGTCTCAACCAATTCCCCATAGTTTGTGGCAGCTACAAAAACGGAGTTTCTGGAGTATAACAACTACTTTCAAAGTAAGTTCCACACAATTAACAGAAAATAACACATTCAAGCAGATTTTTTTCAAGTTTTGTTACATAGTGTAATCATTTAGTGAAAATTCTTTGTCTAATCAAAACAGAATTTGATCTGATTTAATTCAGTATTTTTTCATCAGTGTGTGCGTGTGTGTGTGTGCACACCTGAGCCAACAAATTGCCTGTCGACTTATCACAATGAATGAGTCAATAATAATAATAAAATAATAATAATACTTTATTTGTAGCCCGTGCTATCTCTCCATGAGGACTCAGGGCAGTTTCCAACAAACAAGGCAAACATTCAATGTCAGTATCAAAGACAATAACCATAAAATTTAAACAGTAAAAACAGAAATTAAATTTCTTACTGCCTGTATCTTGGAAAAAGACACTGTTTATTTCACCACATGTGTTAATCAGCCCAGCATTGCAGCTAACCTGTGGAAGAACACTGGAGCGTGCAGGCTTCCTTATTTAATTTCTACCTTGCCTTTCAGTCCAGAACAATTTTGAAGGAGGCTTACATTAAAAATTAATTCATAAAATTATATTGGGCTGTTGCATCTTTTATTATTAACTAGATTAATATAATCCCTGCAATGTCTCCCTCCAGTTCTCATTAGGTCACAGTAGCTGTGACTACAGCTCAGAGAGCATTGACTGCAATAATTGTGGAGCAGTTCCAGATGAGTCTTTTACTATGCCACCATCCTTCCTAATCCTCTAAAATTTACTCTAGAAAAGTAGAACAGACAAAAATAATTGCATAGTGCCTTATTTTGTTTAGTGGGGGAACCTTCTCTGGATATGGTTGCAATATCATGGAAGAAGAAACTGGGGTAGACAGATGCATACCATGAGAATCTGGAACTTTTTTTTTTACAAAAAGAAAAATGTAACCCTTAAATGTTTTTAATCAGTATTAGCAATTATTTTAAAAGTATTGTATTAATGGCAATGTGTTCTTTAAGAGCAT